TTTTTTTGATAGAGCACAAAAACACAACTCCAACAAACAACTCCAACAATCATCCCCTCCAATTCTTAACCCGCAACTCTAAAAACATCATCGTCACGAGGTTATCAACAAAAATCAAATAAGGCACAAAAGGGAGACTAGGGAATAATTTGTAGAGAAAGAAAATGATAGAATACAATAACGCCTTAATCATATACACAGTTCACAATTCTAATCAATTTATTTCAATGCAGACTCAGGGCAAGTTCTAATTAAACAAGAGCATGACCAATGTATCTCAAGAAACAAATAAGGCTCAAACCTCACTAGGTAGATATATAAATGTCAATCAAAGTAATCAACCAAGCATTTCATCACGCTATGCCGCATATGACCTACATTAAAACTCGTCGAATTCATCAAAGTCTTAACTAATCTTGAAATTTCCAAAGTCCATACTAAAAAAACATACAAAACCTACACTAGACCGGTGATGGGTCTATTTCCAGATCTGGGGTGAACCGGTGGAAAATCGCCCGGATCTGGAATGAACTGATGAGAACGAGCTCAGATATGTCCTGATGGTCTCCAAATCGCTATCGAATCACAAGAACACCTGCAAGAACTCAACGCCGGAGGGATTTTCGGCGTAGAGCCTCTGACGCTCAAGTCAGTATCTGAAAGAGGTGAAGAGAGCTGCTCTAAGAGAACAACAGCATTAATGGAAAGGAATGTAGGATGAATGGGAGTTAGGGTTTTGGAGTTACCTCAGCTCCTTTATATAGAAGCAAAACATTTACCTGAAGTCCCCAAAATACCCTGGCCGACTTACTGGAAATGTCCAAAATACCCTGGTCAGTTCGCATTCCATCCACTTCCTAGTCAGCATCTAGATCCTTCCTTATCTTTGGAAGCTTCCTTCTTATCCTTAACTGTCCTTCGATATATTGGAGTGTACTGGAGTCGTCGAGATCTTATGAGCTTCAAGACTTCCTCAGTCGACTTCGGGTATCAACTCGAGTCGACTGGGTCATATTCAATTGTTAGTAGATCCTCACGTGTTTGACCGTCTTTCAAGAGGACATCCACTTTTGCTAGTCGACATGTGGAAGTCGACTGGGAGAGATGCCTGGATCCTTGACCGGAGATACCATAAAGTCTGCGGACAGAATAGACTTCGCGTAAGTCGACTCGGTAACCTCTGAACCGCGATGGTATTGAACCGTTACACGACAGTATGGCTATATCATCTAGTCCCCTCCCAAAAATTACTCGAAACGACTCTGAGCTTACGAGTGAATTTTGTCGACTGAGTGTCCCACTCGAATCTTTTTATATACCATGCCGCCTGTCCCTGTCCTACGCCACGTCTACTCATTATCTCGACTCATAAAGCATTGGTTGGATAAGTCTGAATCTTTTCAAATTTGAAAATTCGAAAATGGGGTTTTGAGCTTTGATAAGACGCTTTCTCTTTCCACCGCTTCGTATTCCGTGCGCCATCTCAACCGTTGAATATGACTTTAATTTGAGGGTTAGGGTTTCTCAGCCTTCCCTATAAATGCTCCTCTCCTTTTCTCGTCCTCACTTTTCACACTTATCTTCTCTGAGCCTTCTGTTTTCTCCGGCAATCACAGCATCTCAAGCTTTCCGGCACTCCTTTCATTTTCCGACGTTCTCAGATCCTTCAGGACTCCTTCGCTGATCATCATGAGTATGAGTAAGTTTCTTTTGCTTTTCAATTTATCGATCTGTTTAAAATAAGAAACTCTTCTCTTTTTTCTTCTTCTCTTTTTTTTTTTCTTTTTTGCTTTTCTGGGCAATACTCTTGGGGCTTGTATGTTCATCGGATTCTCTGGGCATTTTTATGCGGATTTCTGGCGATTGTCTTGTTAGATCTTGGATCGCAGACTTTTCATTTCTTCAAGTGTTTTTACTTGTCAGTTATCTTGGATTTAACTTCCCTTTCTCTTTCTTTTTTTTTCATGAATTGACACGCCATCGTCTTGGTCTTCATTTGTCGAGTCGGGTTGAAATGAGAAGTACTTTCCCTGTTTCTTTTTCCCTGTCTTGTCATCGACTCGACTCTCGTAGCTTTCTGGTCATTTTATTGACCCCAATCTATTTGAATCGAGTCACGGTCGTGTTTTTCAATATCTATTGATTGTCGTTCCTTTTCTTTTTAGATTCCAACCTCGACCCTGTTTCTGATCCCGTGTCTGGTTCTCTTGCCCGTGAAATTGATGACTATTCGGGTTCGGACTCTGTCCACCTAACCGATGTCGGACCATGTTTTCATCAGAACATCGAGCCAGAGGGCTCTGTTAACTCCAATGCCTCATCCTTTGGTATCGATTGGGCTGTGTACAATCAGGCGTTGCTTTCGGGCACACTTTGTGCGGATCCTGAAATTCTTCGAGCTTTCGAATCTTCTTGCCTCGACTCGATTCCTCGAGGTATTCTCCACTAGGTTCTTCTAGACTTCCTCATATATGCGACAAGCCTTGTTCTTTTACTGATAATGACTCCTCTTAGTCGAGTCTATAACTATAGCATGTTCCGTGGTAAAGTTCTTACTATCGTTTTCTTATGCTCCTGCAGCCGAAATCGATGGCTTCAGGGAGTTCATCGGCCTTCCCTCCGATTGGGCTGTAGTTGCTCCTAAACCCGAAGACGACTTCCGTCGCCCTCCTAAGGGCTGTTTTACCTTTTTCGTGGATCAAATAATGTCGGGATTGCGTTTCCCGATTCAACCTGAGCTGCTATCGTTAAGTAACCTTTTCGATATACCAATAAACCAGTTCACCCCCAATTCTATTCGAATAATGGTAGCCTTCATAGTTGTTACCCGCATAGTTTTATGTAATTTTTTACCCGAGTTTTTCCTTTACTGCTACGGGTATAGGTTTAGCAAAGACGCCCATTGTCTGGGCCGTCGAGTAGGCGTTACTTTTCTTGACGACCTTTCTTCCAATATTACCAAATTGAAGAAGAAGTATTTCTTCATTCGACCTGCTCTTGGCCAATATCCCTTTTCGAATGAGTGGATTACCAGTAAGACAAAACAACGTAAATGGCCCGACTCTTCACAGTTCGCTGATATGCTAGAAGAGTTAAATAAACATGTGTGGAGCGCTCGTCAGTTGACTAAAGATAGTTCCTTACTTAATCATGTTGGTATCTGTGTCGACAAGGGTGTTCCTCGGCTTGACGACCCTTGTAAGCTTCTTCGTTTGTTGTTTTTTTTTTTTCGATTTGCTTACTGATTGTTTGGCCTCGTGCTTTAATGCTATTGTCTTGGCCTTCATGTATGGTTCGTGTGCTCGTTTGTATTGATCATGTTCTCTTTTTCAGTAAGAGCTTTGGCTCGTTTCGAGAAGAAAAAGGTTGAGCCGTCCAGCAAACCAACCACCCGCCTTATCCCTCAAGGGTCTGAGGGAGGTTCTGATTCTGCCACTTCTACTGCGGCAGTCGAGACGACTGCTGCTAAAAAGTCTAAAGTGGTGCTCCCCTCGGCTTCCAAGCCGAGTCAAGCGACGGGCTCTCATTCTCACAAGAGACCCCGGAACCGAGAGGACACAACTTTGGTGTCCGACACCTCGAAGCGCTCGAAAGGGAAGGAGCATGTGGTCGAGAAGGACGCGGGGCAGCCGTCCCCTGTTAGGCCTGTCACCCTACAACAGCCTTCGCGACTTTACGACAACCCCGATTCCCTTCAAATTCTCAACTACCTCCACTCGACCATTCCTGAAGATGATCAGGTTCGGACCGACAGCGACCCCTATCTTCGGGCCCGCTATGCGGCTCGACTTATTCCTCGAGTAAGTTCAACCTCTTTTTCATTTTTTTTTTTAGTGTTATGTCGGCTTCTCATCATTTCCTTTATTCGTTCTTTTCAGCTTCTCGCCTGCATTCTTCCCACTATGATCGAGGAAGCGTCTTCCCCCGGGAATAATGTCAAGGTCCTGGGGGAAAAATATGCGTCTAAGTGCCAAGAGCTCGAGGCCAAGGGGGAGAAACTCGAGGCTGCGAACGCCATCAGAGCCAAGCTCCATTCTGAGAAGGAGGCGGCTATCCGAAAGGCTGAGCTGCTAAGAGTCGACCTGGCTAAGGCCGTTGACGAGGCTTTGGTCGAGCGGGAAAATGGAATACAGGAAGGTCGACGAACCTTCTTGAAGTCCACCGCAGGAGCGGTTTTTCTTGATCACTATCGTAAGGCTGTGGTCGAGGGATTTTGCTCCTCTTCGGAGTTTCTCGACAAACTTGTTCCCGCGGCTGTCCAGTACTTCAACTACGCCTGCGACACGTGGGAGCAGGCCGTGACCAAGCCCGACTTCTCGCGAAAAATCGACCGCGACGCCGTGAAGCTAACTCTCCCCGACCCCGAGGTCTTTCGGGAGACAGTTCTTCCCCCCGGCCACGCATGGTGGAGTGGTCTGGCGGCCAAGGCCATCCATTCTGCTGAGCTATCTTCTCAGCTCGAGGTCCCACCACTTCCTTTGGTCGGCCCAGTTGAATTGGTCGAGCTGAGTGGTGCGAACTTCGAAGAAGAGACGTTTGACGAGGAGATTGAAGTCGAGCGGCCTAACACGGAGCCGATTGTGGAGGAGGAGGGCGCTCAGACCGAGCCGATTGGTGATGGAGCTGCTGATGAGAAGTCGACAGCCGACTCTCAGAAGGCCTAGATTTTAGACTTTTCCCCTTTTCTTCTTCTTCTTCTTCT